CAAAAGACAAAGACAAGTCACCGAGTATCTCTGATGTGGACATAATAAGTAAGGCAAATACGGACCAAGCCAAGGTAACGAGTAAAGGAGACGAGAAAGAAGACAGTTTTAAATCGACCATATTATATGCAGATAGCGAGTATGTGACTTTAATATAGAAGATAAAGTCAGCTTCCATTGACATTAATGACAATACGTTTGGCACAAACTGCAGCATGGAATCCTTCTGCAGCGTTCCGGACATATCAATGCGTAAACGAGATCTACAAATTGAACAATTGAAAGAAGAAATAGAAGAAGTTAGAGCACAAATGAGAGGCGCTGACTACGAAATAGAAAAATTACTTTTGAAAATAACCAACTTAAAGAGATAATTATAAAATTGGAAAGTAAAACCAGAAAATACAAGGACATGTACATTAATTCAATGACACCAACAAAAAAGAATTTATTTCAGAAAATCATTAAAGATAAGTCCCGTGACACCCGTGCACTTGAATATTCGTACTAGAACTAGAACTAGAACTTTTTAACAATTTGTTATATAATAATAATAATAATAATAATAAAAATCTTTATTTCAGACCATAAGTCCATAAGTGTTAGTATCATATAAAAAGAAAATCTTAAGCACTATTGTTAGTAAAAAATAAAAATGTACAAATAAAATAACAAACTAAACTAAAAAACCTCCAACGTTAGACATGTAGTGACGACCACCGGGCGACCATTGGTCCGTCCCAGTGGTCGGCGAACGCGGACAGGATGGTGTTGGGGCTGGCACGGATGCGGGCTTCGAGGGAGGCGCACCTCTTCCTCATGACAGCCGCAAAGCCGTCCGTCCGCGCCTCGGCAAACATGCCGGACGCGCTGCACCTCCGCGGCAGCCCCAACAACACCCGGAACGCGTTGTTATACTGTACGCGGAGTACGTCGTACGCCTTCTGCGTATAGTTCACCCACAGGGCGCACGAGTAAAAGGAGACGCAAAACGCTTTGAAGAGCGTTATTTTTACGTCCCTCGTACACCGCGCGAACCTGCGGGCCAACATATTGCATCGGACTGCCAACGATCTCCGCTCCCGCTCGATGTCTTCGTTGTCACAGAGGTTTTCGGTGACCCAGTGACCCAAGTACTTAAATTTGGTGACTGTCTTCAAAGGAGCGCCAGAGAGAGTGAGTGGTGGTACATTATAAGTTTTCGTACCAGCCTTAAAAACCATCAGCTCACTTTTACTAACATTGTACTTGAGTCCATGGACCACCGCATACCGTTCACAAATCTGCAAAAGACGCTTGAGAGCACCGATCGAGGGGCTCAACAAAACCATATCGTCTGCGTAGCTGATGTTATTCACGCAAATGCCATCAACGTGACACCCAATTTTAGTTTTGTTGAGCTCCTCGATCAGCTCATTCATATAAAAGTTGAAGAGCCGAGGTGACGTTAACCCCCCCTGCCTCACTCCGCACTCCAACCCGTACTCGCCTGAAAACGAACCGGACCATCTCACACTGTTTTTCTGGTGGCTGTACCAAAACCTTAAGAGGGATGTGATCTCATAAGGCATGGTCGACTGTTGTTCGATCTTATCCCACAGCACGTCATAAGATACTAGATCGAACGCTCTGGACAAGTCGAGGTAGCACGCGAAAACCGGTGTTCTTCCAGCTGTATAGTACTGGACAGTGCGCTTCAGGCACATGATGGCACTCTCCGTAGACAATCCAGACCTGAAGCCAAACTGCGCGTCATTCAAACGGAGGTGCCCCTTCAAATAACCATCCAGCACACTGTCCAGCACCTTGGCTACAATGGTTGCTAATGAAATCGGCCTATAGTTGGACAGCTCAGAAAAATCACCGGTCTTATTCTTCACAATTGGGACCACAACAGTACGCATGAGATCGTCCGGTAAGTAACAGTGGCCCATACACAGGGTGTAAAACATTGAAAGAACCCTGGGCAAGTGAACACCTGCATGCAGCAGATGTTCAATGCTGAGACCATCGTGCCCCGGTGACTTACCCCTAACCATGGTTTTTATTATAGAAGCCACCTGTTTTGCAGTTATAGTTAAGGTAGTCTCAGATATGGCCCCAGCATTAAACACCCGCGCAGAAAGTCCCAACGGGGAAACCACTTTGAAATGACTCTGGAAGAGGTCGGCTATATCCTTAGGGTCTTGAACACCCGCGATAGTCGCGGGGGCACTCGTTTTGTGATTTAATTTATTTACAGCTTTCCAAAAGGGTCCAAAGCTTTTACTGCAATGATATTGAGCAATTATATCATTCTTAATTTGCTGTTCGTGGTTTTGACACCATTTTAATTTAGCCTTAAACTGCTTCCTAGATTGGTACATCTCATCATAAAAATAACCCGATGAAGGTTTACCGTGAAGAACCCAGTCTTGGAAACATAACCTAGCTCTCCCATGAGCCCCACTGACATATCGGTTCCACCCCGTCACATAGTGCTTCTTTTTATTATTTCTTACATGAAAACAGGTCACCGCAGCCTCCGTTAAGATACCAATAATATCCTGATACAACCGTTGCAAAACTTGAAAATGATCATTATTGTTGCATATTTTATTACAACATTTACTAAGCTCATGAGGGAAATTTATTAGCTTTAACCTAGAGTACAAAAATCGTGGTACTTTGATATCTGAGCAGAGTCACGGTCACCCCACATAATCTTATTATTATTACAAACAGATTTTAAAATTTTAGGCTTAATTAAATTAATATTACAATGCACTACAATGGGGAAATGGTCAGACCAGTACGAATCATACAAAATCGACGTACTTACAACAGTTTGCCTCGCAGCACCAGTTCCAATACAGTGGTCGAGCTACCGCCGGCAGCCATGCGCCTCGCTCACATATGTGTATGAGTCAGAGGGCAAGAGTTCCAAATCAATACAAGACCAACACTGATCCGCACAAAACTGTGTAAGTTCTACAGCAAACGGCTCCCCTGGATGGGAGTTGAAGTCACCTAATAAAAACACCGTTTCGATTTCCTGACTCTCAATTACCGCACTAATCTCCGCAAGACAATCCGTGAAATCGACCATGTTGTCACTACAGTCTGTCGGCATGTACACGGAAAATATCAATAATGCGCGATCCTGCAACGCTACCTTAATAGCAGCCAACCGAGCATTTTTACACTCAACCACAGATACTACGGCGGATATGTCTCTCCTCCACAATAGCGCTACCCCACCATAAGGCCGTCCTCGGAGTACACCTGCAGATGTATCCACAGCAGAGGTCCCCGTGAAAGCGAAACGATCATCGATGCTTCCCAAATAGGCCAAATCGTGCGGCAGCAGCCAGGTCTCCTGCAGCGCGATGACATCAGCTACTTTACATAGTTTTCTTACACACTCAACTGATCTAGCTATATTTTTACAATTAAAAGTCAAAAGTCGCATACTGGTCATGAGATATTAATAATCACGAAAGTTCTCTCCAATTAGTCATCGTTATCAGGCCCTTTGTACTTAAAATTGACAAAACGCCTATACGCTATTCCATCCGGCCAGAACTCTTCTGACATAAACAAGCTCAACTTATGTTTAGGTACAAATATTTTGTACGAGTCATAGTCCTTAGGCCGCTTCATGTTCATTTTTTCTATTGTTACGCATAAGCTAGTTTTGCGCTGAATGTATCTATTGATCTGACACACTGTCACTTCCTTTGATACATTATAAATATAAATTGGAATTTTCACTTCAGCGGCCTTAAAACAACCTTCCGCATCGGTAGCACTACCTCTATTTCCCACAAAGCGGTTTCTCAATTTTCTTTTTTGATAAACAATCCATTCATCATTTTTTTCTGGCTTCTTCCACTCGCCTTCGCGCACAATATCTGCTAGCGTTCTTTGTTTACGTTCACTCTCGCCGACAGCGCGGGCGGCCGCGCGACTCCGCTCCAACGCCGACGTAATATTCGGAGCGGGCGCAGGCACACGAGCCGGCATACGTGCCGGCGCAGGCGACGGCGGCCGCTGAGGCGGGGTCGTTGCCCGCGCCGGCTCACGCGCCGGCACACGCGCCGACGCGGGCGACGGCGGCGGCAGCTGAGGCGGGGGCCGCTCGGCCGTTGGCGATGACGAGTGTGTCATTACCAAGCTATTGCACGGACTCGAGCAAACTACCGACACGTTACTATTTTTATCAATTTCTATGGAATTATTGATGTTATTCTTGCTAAATGATGAATATAAATGATGATTCCCGTTGTCAAGTGCAGTTTGTGAGTGTATAATATTTCTGTACATAGTCTCGGAGCCATCGGGCGATTTATTACCCTCAGCGGTCACAATATTTTCCGACACATTATGAAGTAAACCCATGGGACCGCTGTTATACTCATAACCATCACGGAAAGCAGCACCACGCTTGGTATTTACTCTCTGAACATTTGTATCATTCACATTAACCAGTGAGGTCAGTTTTAACGCATCCAAGTCCAACGCTAGCATAGTTAATTGCTCCTTTGTAGCGAATTGTTCGTTAATTTTGTGGACATCCTGTTGTAGCTTTAAAATATCCTTTAGAAGCCTAGTCGTGTCGACGTGATCAAAATAAACCGGGGGCAATCTGTGCAAGTCCCTGGCAACAAATATTGGAAAAGATTCAGGGTTACCTTCCTTCATTAAAGTCACTATATCATCGATATCACGCCGGGTCTTGCCAGTTCCTTTTCTTATTTTCTTACGCCTTGCAGACGGTATAGAATCAAACAACAGATCCTTAGCGGTTTTAATTTCCAGCTCCGTGAATGCACTAGTGCAGATTTGGGAGATTCCATCTTCCTTCATAACATCTATTTTGTTATTGACAAAAGTCAGTAATTCGTTTATTACCACGTTACAGCTTGCACATTTCACTAAATTTGACGTCATTTTATCACTGATTATTACTCGATTACACGTCCAACCGCGAGGGCGCGCGGGACGAAACTGAAATATACATGAAAGAAAATCCATTAAAACAAAATCCAGGCAACTTTAATCTAGGGAAAACCAGACATCCCAGGAAAACAAGGAACAAAATAGAAATACGGCCAAAACAACGCCCCACCTTGGAATTTTACAATAGAACGATGTTTATATTGGCACCTAAATTATTAAATAAAGTACCAGATGCAGTTAAAGAACTAAATTGTAGGCAATTTAAAATAAAATTAGGTACATAATTTGTTAGTTACACAATGCTACTACAATATAAATGATTTTTTAATAGATAACATAAAATGTAAAGTTTAACCACTGCGTGATTGGAATAAGAATTGTGTAAAATATTCGCATGCCAAGTTTTGGTGAAATGTACGATCTAATAATAATATACTATAACACCATTGTAAACTACATTTTTCAGCGAATAAATATCTTGTATTCTTGTATTCATGGACGTGATAACCCACGAATATGCATGGATTTTGGATTCTAATCGTAATATCAGTTATGACTTTAAGATGTTTGTGAAACGGTCAGGAATTTTAAACAACATAGGAATGAGAACTGTAATAAATGATCTATTTCAATTAATTACAGACATTGACAATAATTATTACTTTAAAGAAAAGGACAATAACTACGACAAAAACACTGATAGTTCAAGCGACGCTAGTGACACCTATAACGCAAATGGTGACAATTTTTTTCGTGACTAATAGCATAAATGTTTTACACCAAAATATTGACGGACTAATAAATAAGTCAGACCTACTAATATTGGCGCTAGATGAATTAACGAAAAGAAGTAAATCTGTAGATGTCATGTGTATTACAGAACACAACATGAAGGTAGAAGACATACAATTCTTAAATATTCCCAATTACAGACTTGCTTCCTGCTTTACTCGAAATAATAGAAACGGAGGTGCATTCATTCTCATTAAAGATGGTTTTAATTATAAAATAATCGACGCGGTTTCCAAATTCAGTGTTGCAAACATTATTGAATGTTGTGCAGCCTAACTGACCTAACTGATCATGATTTTATAGTTCTATGTAGAGTTCCGAAAAGTGAATCGAAATGTATTGAAATATTTTATAACAATCTGCACGATATGTTGACTGAAGTATACTACCAAAGAACCAAAAATATCGTTATTTGTGGCGATTTTAATTTAAATACTCTAGAGCTCTCCAAATTATCTTTGGAATTTACAAACATAGTGCAGGGTTTTAATCTGAAAATAGCATTAAATGAACCAACCCATCGCAAGTAGTGGTACGTGTATTGATAATGTTATACATAATATTAATGGGTGTGAGGTAGAAGTAATTGAGTTCGCGTTGTCCGATCATACATCACAGTTTGCTCGATACCCGGTTGGTAAATTAGTAAAATTAAAACAATGGTACACAAATAGACAAAACTATTCTCTTGAAAATATGATAAAATTCAAAGAATGTCTGAGCAGACTCAGCTTTAGCGATTCAAGAACAGCCAGGAACTGCAATGAGGCTTTTAATGCTTTATATGACATTTTCAAACTTTTTTATCAATTGTGTTTTGCTGTAGTAAGAGTACAATATTTTGTTAAAAAAAAACCAAGATGGCTTTCACGTGGAATACGATTGTGCTGTATAAAGAAGAGGGAGATGTTATGGAAATACAGAATAACAAAGAGAAATGAGACTAAACCTGCATATAAGCTTTTTTCTACAAGACTAAAGAGGATAATCCAGTTAGCAAAAAAGTGTCAAAATAAGTATTATATTTCCAGAGTGAAAATAATAAATAATAGTAAACCAAAAATACCCCAAAATTCTAGATCAGGTCAAAAATCAACGACAAATTGGTAACAGCATTGGAATCAACATTCAAACAAGAACGGAAATGGAATATAGCTCTGATACTAAAGTAACACTATATGGAGTACCGCAAGGTAATATTTTGGGACCATTGCTCTTCTTAATATATATTAATGACATACCTAATCCCATCACTCAATGGTGCTCTATGCGGGCGATTGTATAATGACATATATTAAAGAAAATGAAATAAATACAAGTTTAAATTCATTAATAGAATGGCTTGAAGATAATAATTTAAAAATCAATTTAGAAAAACAAAACTCATGAATTTTAGGTTGAGAAAAATAGCTAGTAAGATAAACGTAGAGAACAAAGGGACACACATCGGAGACACAAATATAACAAAGTTCCTAGCTATACAGATTGATGACAAAATTAACTACTTTCTTCATAATGTTTGTTCTCAAAAGCAGGCAATACAATATCAAAATCGAGAAACAGACTGTTACCAAATAGATTTTTGTTTTTATGTGATTGTACAGACGAGGAGAGGGAAATTTAAGTAACACAAATTATGTGAAATGACGATTGATTGAATTGATCAATTTAATCCAAGTCTTTTATTCTGTCTTTAAGTAGGGAAAATTTGCAGGACAAAAGTATCGATACCTTGAGGTATCTAACATTTTATGCGACACTACTCATGATTACAGTATCGATACTTTTGATTCGATACTGTGTCCCTAGCTAAAACTCAAAAGTTTGGATTTGGATTGGATTCGCTCTGGACCTTTTGGAGGAGGAAAGTGTTGTTTTTATTTTGACTTTCAATTATTTTGTGAAATCTAGTTTAAAGTGGAATAGGATAGTGCTGTTGTGCCTTAATCGAAGATTAAAACGCGAAATTATACGAATCTCGAACTAAAATACCCGTATCGGCTCCAAGCACGCCGCCTCAAATTGCCTATCCTCTGTGGCGGCCATATTTACAGAAACATAATTAAACGAAGACATGGCTCAAAGGACTTGTATCCAAGCCAAAATTATTAATAAAAAAAAAATGGATTTGGTTTCCATAGACTAGTGTTAGCAAGTGAAATAAGTGATTCCTCCCGCAGCTGCGTAACAGATTTACTTAAAAACAAAAAGTGTTATAGTGCTTTATATAAATTTGTGAAACACACTATAGAAACTATTTAAAATCAACTCTTAAATCAAGAACTCTAACCAAAATAAGACTTGGCATAAAGGTCTTGTATTGTAACCAGGCCATAAACATTATTAAAAAAAAAAAAGTCAACAAAATTTGAGGTTAGGCGTCGGTTGCATCGTTTTGATTTATTTTGTTTCTTTGTGTATTATGTAGGGTTGGTAATGAAAAATGAGCTCTTCAAGCAAGGAAACCGAAGAGCCAACGTCCACAAACGAGGTGGTGAGCAATGGCGCGGGCGGCAGCGGCGAGTCGGGGGCAGCGGGCGAGGAACCGCGGCCGCCCGCCAAGCGGCGGATGTCCAGCACCGTGATCGAGATCTCGGACACGGAGAGCGATGATTCGGATATCTGCGCTGTCACCTCGTACCAGGCCTCCGCAGATGAGGTTAAGAGGATACGTGGCGGTAAATATTGCAAACAGGCCAGCAGTGTTGTAGTGATGCAGTTTGGGCGGGAAACTTGAATTTTTGTGATTGGTAGTAGTTTATAAAGGCGTTGCTCTTTTATTGTGTTTTTCAATACTTATGCGCTTAATGAATGTCTGGTTGAATTTTATTGGATGCGCAGCGGATTACTCTTCGTCATCATCGTCATCGTCGGAGTACAGCTCCGACTCGGAGTCGCCTTGGGAGGACGACTCATTGCTGGTGGAGTCGCCGGCACCCGCTCCAGGCAAGCCACCGCGCGCGCAGCTCAATCCTCGCGCCGACCGCACGGCTGACCCCAAGCTCAATAATGCATTACAGGTAGGATTTTGAAGTAAGACCAATTTGTTTATTTTTTAAATTTGGGTTAACAACAGCTATTATGTTTTTGTCCTAACATTTTTATAACAATTGTTTGTTAGATCAGTTTTCTGCTGAGTCAGACAGAGGAATTATTAAGATGTATTTCTTAATGTAAAATAACTACTTTTATTGAAATATTCCTGACTTTCTTTACAAAAAAGAAAAAGAAATGAAAAATTACATTACTCTAAAATATATAATAAATACATTATATATAATACAAATAAATATATATAAACTATACATGAGGTGTAGGAATTTAATAGCATGGAATAAAATAATTCTGTGAATAGGTTTATACTTAAATGATAGACCAATTATGAAGGTATATATATTGTATCAATATAGATGATCGAAATCACAGATCAAGCCCTACAAATAGAGTTATGTTAACCTGCATATTTTAATCAATATGTGCGAGTGAAGGAACACTAAATTACTATCAACTAAGTGGCTAATAATTTTAGTTTAGCCTGTGTACAAATAAGTCTGAAGAATTCATTCGAGAACTGTGTTAAGCCACAATTATCAACTCCAGGTGCCACACACATGACCATGAACATGATTTGCCTGTTACAGAATAAGAATGCACATTTGCAAAATAGACAACCTTGAAGCCTTGTTGACATCTAAATGGTCAATGGGTCACATTATGAAAGTTAGGCTACAATTATAGTCTGTTCCAATCCATTTTGAACAAAAAGTAAACAAACCTGTTTGGTTAAAATTCTAAAGCAATCACTAAATAAATCGAATAAGTAACACTTTCACGTATATTCCGAAGATTTTGACTTGATATATCATCACTTTTTTCAAAACTATTAATTTGAATGGCTTTGTAAAATCGTATTTGAAAAATGGTAGTCCAAAAGTGAGGTTTTTATTAATCTATACTTCTGTGACCTGCCTATGGTTGCATAGCGCTGTTCGAAAAAAAATCTTTCCTTTCAATCAATTAAAGTTTAGTAATCGATTATTAAATCGAATTCATATTATGAAGGTGATCGTAGTCTATACGGATTTAGAAAACACTTTCAATAGTGTAAACCACAGTTTGAGTCAATCCACCACTGTAGATTAACTCATATTTAGCCAATCATTCTCAGGCATATTTCTTCTATACTTCGTTTCAATCCATTTTGAACAAACTGACCCGACCATAGACGGTTTAGTGGTGGCCAATTGTAACGCCAACTACAAATCGATTAATTAACAGAATGAATCTATGTTGAAAAACAAAGTCAGATAATATGGGCAAGTGCAATGTTGTTGATTATATTCATTTAAAAAAGCAATATTGAACATTCTGTCACCATGTAAATTGAGCTGTAAAAGAAATGTCAAAGTACTTACTGATGTACCATAATTCCCTATTAACTTGGAATCTTTTTGATTTATTGAGGTTGCATGAGCCTTTTTCATGAACATAATCATAACATATCCTTTGAAGGAATTCCTGTAACTTATTATATTTAAAATGATTTAAAGAAAACAAATCCAACCAGTTGTAATAAGTAATAGTATTCCCAATATTGTTTTCAGTCACAAGAATTAATAGACAGAATAACAGACCACTGGAAGGAGCGTAAAGACTGCAGCAGTAAGGAGGTGACACTGACATGTGAGCCATTCCGTCTGTGCCTGCTCCATAACCTGCTCTCTGAACCTGACGTGATAAACAACATCGTGGACGACATGAACACACTGGACTGGTCCCGCAAGAAGATGGACCTCTACGAGTTCCACCAGACGACAGACCTTGCTAGCCTAACGTGGCAAAGAGGTATCAAGGGGATTTACGAACTGCTCCGAACTGAGGTGATGAGTTGGGTAAGGACCATAGAATTCAATGTAGTAACATAGTCTAGTGTCCTTGACGATATGAAGAAGGATGGCGACATCCCGTGTATTTAGTGACCCAGTGTTTTTGACGACGTGGTTATAATAATACTAAGAGATAATATTATCTTAATAATAACGCACACACTCAACATAGCCCTACACTAGGGAAACCCTGTGTCGCGGGTGCCATGGACACACACATAGACAATCACAAATTATACCCAAAGTCATGAGAGAAATAAATGTAGGCCATACAAATATTTTTCCCAGCCCGGGAATCGAACCTGGGACCTCTGCGTGGCAGTCCAGTATGGTAACCGTTCGGCCACAGAGGCAATTTGTGTGCATTAAACAGACCTATCAATACTTGTGATTCATTAACAAAGCATCAAAAAAGCTAATTAGGTACAGCCTGTAGAAGCTCGGGTTATAAAGTTGTATATTTATAACATAGTCCTTTATTTCGCTTTAAAATATTTGTTTGCAGCAGCTGAAAACAATAAGCTTTTTCCCAAAGTTTTTAAGTATGTCCCCAAAAATAATAATGTACTTGCTGAATATTCTCAAATCTGCCACATTTAATACAATGTTAACATGTTCTGCCGGAGGGAAAAATGATAAAAATTAAATCTGTCCAAAGGGCATAAATCTGCGATAAACAATCATATTGTTTTCAATCCCAATGTGACATTGGTCAGAGGCTCTTGTCAAAATGTTCCTTTGCTAACTTTCTTATCTCTCATTGAAATATTTAACCGACTTCAAAAAAAACTTCTTTTTCTGTTGGAAAGGGGTACCTCCATAGTGGTCCCATTTAATTTTGAAGAAAATCATCCATCTCTAAGGGTGGCTGTTCACACATGAAGATTCATTTTTATATATAGCATCTAAATTTTAGTATAATGAGCAATTATTTTAATGGTTGATTTTGCTATTCTTTAATTCAAGGCGTTTTTCTCTCTCAATATACTTTGAGTAGTGAGAACCGATTTTTATTATCTTCTGTGTCAAGTCCCATATAGTGGCGAACTAGGGGATGAATCCGGGTTTGCGTACTTTCCAGTAACCGATTTCAATAAAACTTGGTAATTATATGTAATTCCACGTACTTTGTTTGTTTCTTAGAGAATGGAAAAAAAATAAAAGAAATGAGCTACCCTAACTACGGAATGAACGTGCATAACTTAATCAAAAATTGAACGTACAAATGGCCGATTTGTTTAGTGTCGTACCATAATGTATCGACAAGTCATTATCGACATGCAAACATTTAATTAAAGTAGATCAATATTTGGGAATATTTTAGGTTATTATGAGAATGTCCGGGAATGTCACATGAAATTTTGAATTTCTTGTTTTGCGTTTACAAATACTCAAATATTACGAAAAGTGAGTTTGCACAGAAAAAAATAATATTTGTAATTTGAGATTATATATAAAAGAGAAAACTTTAAAATATAAATCCTATACATTTACAACCTCAAGATTCTTATTTTCATAGAGAAATTTTTAAACAGATTCCAAATAGTGTACGTTTTTTGTATTTATGCATTGGTGTAGAATTAATTGACTGATTTAAGTGAATCTTTAATAATTCCATTTAATTTTGGAAATAAATGAAAGTAGTAATATTATCAATAATAATATTATTATCATACGTTTATTTGCTTAAAACATGGTATACCATGTTATAACAGGAGATGTAACAAGACAATGTTAATATAAACATGTTTCGCATATATTAATTAGCATGCAAATGTCTGATTATACAATGTCAATTGGCTTCTATTGGTCGAGCGCCTTTGATTTGTGGAGAAAAATCGACACTTCTCCGAAGTGTGACAAGTAGTCACGAGCGACTGCGAGTTGCGACAAGCCACATCAAACGAGCTCTATACACGTTAGCGCTCGCCTTCACTCGGTCAGCTAGGCGAGTGACATCGAACGATGGCAAGGCAAGACAAATAGGCTGTCTATACGTCGGTATTGGCCTTTACTCGGCAACGTTAGACCAACATGGTCTTTGTATTGCTGGCTTTATAAAATACGAATTTTTAGTAGTTAGAGTTGTCAGTGGAAAAAAATCGGAAACGAGTGGATAATTTTGTTTTCAGGAACTGAGAATGCCTAGTAAATGAGTCGTGTTTAATCTAAATTAAATATAAAATTATTTACCAATAAACCTAATGATGGAATTGCATTATCATGTAATCTAGTTCAAAGTTATATTAAAATTTGACTGAATTTGATACAAAGTGTATTCCATAGCATCTAAGTTTATTTGAAAAGAGCAATCCCTAGAGGCTGCTCGTTCTTCTCAGGGAGGTCAGCGTAGTGAACGAGCAGTAGCTTAAATGTGACGTTTTCAAGTGTAAATTTATTTTACCTATGGAATAAATAATCTTTGACTTTAACTGTTCAAAATGAAGCGAATAAATGAAGATAGTCTTTGATTCAATGTATGATTTCCAACCATTCTATTTTCTTTTCTCCTCGTAGTGAATTATTTTAATAACAGAATATCGATAATATGTACGCTTCCAAGAACAACACTATCTCAAAATAATCGTTTACAACAATCATCGAAATATACAAACAAACAGGCAATCTGAAGAAACCAAAGCAAAATTTGGCAAGATTTATGAATAAACTATTTAAATATATCTAATTACATGAGATATTTGGGCTTTTGTGTGGTTTATAGACAGAAAAATAACACGTGCACGTGTGTACAATGTTACATTCGGTCGATCTTCGTTTTTTCAAATGCCACATCCCGTAATGCTGCAGCGACGAATTTTTATTAATATTTAATTATTCTCACTGTCAATATTTTTGTCCATTTTATTACAATACATGCGAATAATTCAATAAAACACTTGGAAAACATTCGTTTTCACATTTGATGTACTTCCCTTTGACAATCGTATCATGTTCCTCATGTACTGCGAAATGGACACGGTTGGCATTTAAGATGACGTTACGTATTTTCGATTCTCGTGTTTTACACAGATCAATGTAATGCTATCTCTTTTGGTTTAAGACTGCACGCAATAGTCAAACAAAGACAATAACATGTTTATGTTTTCGACGTCGAAACGCATTATATACATAATTATAACGTCTGATTTATATATGTCAACATAACATGTCCTTTAGTTTCCATAGTTTAAGGTTTTTTTAGTACTCTGTACTGAGTGTACACATTGACTTTTATGTCTTATTTTATGCATTACTGTTTGATTCTTCGATTAGGTATTTCAAAACTTTAATGTTTTATGTGTGAACTATAAAATAACCAATGCTTTAGATATTGAAACATTCATTCATGCTTAAAATGTATGTTATCTAATCTTTGGTTGAACTGAATCAATAGTGTTGTGTTCTTGCATTTGTTCTAAAGTACACGGTTTTGCAATTTGTTTATTCCCGACTTCTAAAAATATATTGATAACTAGTCATGAACGAAAACGTAAAATCATACTAGCAAAGTCCATGAGCGGTTCATTATTGGGTCAGCTTTCGTCATCTTTCTTTCAACACTGCGGGATGTAGACATACCGGCGGAAGCTGTTCGTCAGTAACGAAACAAATGACCGATTAGGCATTCGGGACGGGAGCAGTGCGAGGTCGGTTTGTAGGGACCGGTTTTCTCGTCCGCGTCGGGCGCCGCCGCGCGCCGCTCCTCGAAGTCGTGTCTCCGCGCTTTGGATTGCGCGCGTTGCAGGTGAGCAAAGTGACGGGGCTGGAACTGACGGGCGTGTCGGCGTCGTGCTCGCTGTACGGGCCGGGGGACCACCTGCTGGTGCACGACGACCTGCTGGCCGACCGGCGCGTGGCCTTCATCCTGTACCTGGCGCCGTGGCGGCCGCGGGCGGCGTCGTACCGGCCCGCGGCGCAGGACGCGCTGGAGAACGGCGCGTCGCGCGAGCGCGTCGCAGCGGCCGCGGCGGCCGCGGCGGGCTGGGCCGAGCACATGGGCGGCGCGCTGGAGCTGCTGGCGCGCGACGGCCGCGGCCGGCCGGCCGGCGTGGCGCACCGCGTGTTCCCGCGGAACA